AGGGGAGGGTCTCGGAACAGCTCGGGATGGGAGAGATCCTGCGGACGGGATCCAGCAGCTAATCCAGGTTGGCGGGGGACCGGGTCAGGTGTTCTGCCTCGGGAGGGAGCATCCTTTATGAAGCGGGGGATGAAGACTGTGTAGCCCGCCCGGTGCTCTTGGGCTACGTATCCCGTCGCTCCTCACCCTCAAAGGTGGATGGGAGGCGTCTTCTGAAGGGCCACACGCCCCCCCCCCTCTGCCGCCTCCCCAGTTCATGGAGGAATGAATCGTCAAGCATGCACTTATTAAAAAAAAAGAGGCTTCGGGGTCTTGCCAGCTTCGTGGCCCAGTACAGTAGTGCATACTGTTAGTGCAGGGGAGGGCATGGTGTGCCGCCCCCCAATGGTGGAATGAAGCTCCCCCAGTCTCTCTCACTTTGGCCTTGCTGGAAATAGCAGACCAAGGACGTCTGGAGGACCATAGGTTGCCTCCCCTGTTTTTAAGAGGTGGGTGGCAGGCCTAGATCCGTGTTTCTCAACCTTGGGTCTCCAAATGTTCTTTAACTCACAGAAGCCTTCACCACAAAGCAGTGCTGGCTAGGATTTCTAGGAGCTGCAGCCCAAGAACATCTGCAGAGCCAAGGCTGGGAACCACTGACCTAGATGATCTGACTGAGTGGAGTATAGATATGGTGGTGGGTCAAGCTGGAGAGAGAGGTACTTCAGCAAGGTTAAGAACCAGTGACCTAGATGATCTGACTGACTGGAGTATAGATGTGGTGGGTCAAGCTGGAGAGAGAGATACTTCAAGTTGGATGTGTGATAATGGTAACAGTTTTAATCTGAGCAGGCTTCATCCTCTTCTCATTGCAATGTGTTTTTATTTCAGATGACCTGACTGAGAACTGTTAACAACACCCTGACCCATGATATACAAACTCAGATGAGCAAGCAGGGAGAAAGAAATCCAGCTTTATTTCATGGTGGTTATGACTAGAGGGCTAACTTAACTAGCCTTCATTACCTGTTCTTGAGCATGTATGGCCACTGTGTAAGAAAAAGAAAGAGAGAACAAAGTTATTTATAGAGAGTAACGAGAATATGCTTGCCTTTTCATAGCTGGTGTAGTTTACATTTGAGCCAGTTCTCTTTGTATTGGGTTTCTGCTAAGATAGGACACAAATGAGCTATATAATACGAAAGCAGACAGAGTTGTCACTATGACGTGATGTTTCTGGGATAAGCTGACTCCAGGAGAAACAAGATACAGTGAACAAATTAGGAAGTTGAGAAATGGAGATCTGGCAGCAAAGGTGGGACTGTAGGGACTAGTGGTTAAAATTGCTTGTGAGGTGTCTGATGCAAAGGGATTTATTTAGTTGTAAGAAGTACACATTCAAGCATATTTTCAGGTGGTCACAAATAAAAGGGAAAGTTAGGCTTATGCTACAAGGCCTGAGGCAGAAGAGACAAGTAAGATGGCATATTATGATAAAGTTAAATGTATTTGTTCTTGGTGATTCTTCTATTGAGCCAAGTTACTGAAGGAATGTGACTGCAAGAGCAGCAGAGCTCCTCTACCATTTCTGGTTTCTTTTGACATCTAGAGGAAGCATACTAAATTGAATGTGATGGGAGGGGTTGAAAGCAGTAGGGCCATATCCTCATCAGGACTATTTCCAGAATGGAGTCTTGCCTTCTGGACTCTATGTGCAGTAGCGGTGCCAGTGGTGCTCACCCTGTGGTGCAGCTTTCGGCGTTCCCGGAGGCAGGGTCTGATGCAGGATCTCTTGCGGAAGAAAAAGCATGATTGGCAGGACACAGACCTCTTCAGCCAGCCCACCTATTGTTGCATCTGCTCTCAGCATATCCTTCAAGGAGCCTTCTGCAACTGCTGTGGTCTATGTGTGGATGAAGAGTGCCTGAAGAAAGCGGACCGGCGTTTCCTCTGCAAGGAGATCATGATGAAGGGTGAAGGTGGCATTCGGACCTCTATGGTACACCACTGGATTCGAGGCAATGTTCCACTCTGCAGCTACTGTGTTGTATGCAAGCAGCAATGTGGCACCCAACCCAAGTTGTGTGATTACAGGTAATGAAAGAGGGGCAAAGATGGGGGGAGCAATCTTGTAGTAACAAGCAGTAGCAATATATAGCACTGTTCATGCTTTTGCTTAAATTCAAGGACAGCCAAGTGAGTACTGGAGGCAGAGGTACACATGTAAGTCATGCCTCTTTTCCAGCCCTATACAACTGAAATGCAGACATGAAGATCAGCAAAGAAGGCTGTACATTAGATCAACTGAACATGCTTACAGATTTTCCATGATTGAGAGGCCTGTTAAGGCATGTTTTCCAATCATGGGACCTCTATAAGCATGTTCCGCTTCCATATATTACAATAACATCTATAGACCTTCATTCTCAATCTGCTAAGTGATTCCTGACATGGACTATTGTGCATGTACCCATCCCTACCACACACTTAGTCCACCAACAATTCAGGCAAAGCCCTGGGTAGAACTTACATTTGGTCCTTTTATGTGCCTGAGGCTTCACTAGCATCACGTGTCCTTTGGAAGTTTGTTTGTTGATTGGCTTTGCCATTCTCCCACAGAGGCACCCAAGGTGCCTCAGGTACAGTGTATGTTAAAACAGGTACACCCAAAGAGATGATAAGTTATAATAAGTTATTAGCATAGAATTAAATAAGTTATTTTATTAAAAAGAAGCACTGAATTAAAAGTAAAAATCATTTCAAAGCACAGTAAAGGAAGGAAAAGACAAAACCTGGCATTAAAAGAAATTTTTTTTCTAATAGCTGGTTATTGGCCAAATGCCTGCCTAAATGAAAAGGTTAGCAAAAGGACAGCAGGGTGAGAGCCAGCTTTACCTCCCTTGAAGGGAGTTTTACACCTTGAAAGCCACCACTGAGAAGTTGCTTCCCTCATCTTCAAAAGCTTGAAAGGTTTTGGACTACAGTTCCTAGAATCTCCTAGCCAGCATATGGCTTATCTGAAAGGCCAAAGATGGATCACCTACAAATTTAAGTAAACTATCAAAGTGTTGTATCTTTTTCTCAAACTCTACAAATGGTAGCTGTCTGACTAATCTAAGGTTCATTGGAAATAGTCCTTGGTACCAGTATATGATTCACCTTTGCTGTGCAACCAGCCAATCCAGAGAGACAGGATGCTCAGTTGCACCCAGTATTATAATGATTCTGAGCACAAGAGCCATTTGAAAATGTAAAACATTACCCTCCCAGGTTGGATAGCACGTTGGGGCAGTTCTTTTAAACTGTAATTTTTCTAAATACACTTCTTCTCCTCTTAAAAAAAAAACCAACAAAAATAGTTAAGACGTATGCAGAAAATAAATAGGAGACAACACCTGCAAAAAGGACAACAAAATGACTAGGAAAGCACAGTGTGGGCCAGTGATGAATACGTCTTGGCATGGTGAGCACTTCAATCTGTGATACTTGAAAGTAAAATTTCAAGTCATTCATATGCATAGAGAGACACCAGAGGAAGGAAGGGGAAAAAAACTATTCCAGCCTGCAACCAGTGGTCATGCTAACTTCAGGATTCAGTTACTCATTGGCCAAAATATAATTTTCCCACACTCTGGTGTAAAATGTCTGGGGACTTTGTTGCTATTCTGATAGGTTTATGGCTTCCTCCCTGAAGCAGATAGGAAGAGGTTTGATTTACATCAGAGCAAATCTGCTTTAACCTGACGTATTTCTGTTGTTTGGCTCTATGGTTTCAATATTTTTTTGCATGAAGTACAGATGGGGATATTCGAAGACGAATACAAATATCCCCACAGGTGGCAATAACAAGGGTCTGGCCCCATGTGGCCAGACTGTCCACTCCCCATTTATTTATTTATTTTATTTATTTATTTATTCAATTTATATGGCGCCCACACTACCCAGAGGTCTCTGGGCGGCTTACAATAATTACATTCTGCTGCTGACGTGAGCTTGATGGAGCCTTCCTATGGCGCCATCATCCACAATGGATTAGCCACTCTGCGACCTGGCAGAGAGGCTTGTCATCCCGCCTCCTGCCAGGAGTGGCTAATCCATTGCAGACAATGGCGCCATAGGAAGGCTCCGTCAAGCTGGCGTCAGCGGCGGAATGGGGAGTGGACAGTGAGTGGACCCTCGTTATTTCCACCTGTGGGGGGGATATTCGTGTATGAATACCCCCATATCTAGTATGAAGCATCTGTTCTCTGCTTGTCTTTTTCTGAAGTACGGCTCCATTCTATGGGTTGCGTGATTTGTGATTCTTTTACTTTGTGTTACTCAGGACTGTTTTTCATAGAACTGGAGCACAACAGCCTTTTCACACTCTATACCAGCTGCAATCCCTAAATACGACATGAAAGTGACACTGATTAATTTGCCATACACACCCCGTCTTCCTCTCTCTTTAGGATGGGCACATACAAAGGAGGACAGAGGTGTATTTAAATGAATAAAACTGTCTTAACTGTTGGCCAGATGAGGGGATCTGGGCAGGGATATACCTTGTTATATATACTTGAAGACAGCTGTGCCTGCCAAAATTCCCTCTTCTTAAAGACACAAGAACGTTACTGTCTTGCTTTGGCATCTTGCAAATTTAGTCTGCATACTTTCGGAAGGTTTTGCTGTTTTTGTGGGAAAAGGTAGAAATCTCTATCATGCTGATCCTCTGGGGAAAAAAGGGGGAGTTAAGATTCTTGGCTTCATTTGAAGATTATGTACCTTATATCTATAGATTCACCACATGTAAAGTTGTATTTCAGCATCCATCCATCCATCACCATATTCATATGCTGTTTTTCTGTCAAACAGATCCCTGACTACCAAAGCAAAACACCTTAATAAAACCTTTTTAGCAATGTAGTTTGAAGCATGTCTGCTCAGAAGGCAGGTGGTTATACATTATAGCAGGTTACAGTAGACTAAGGCAGTAGTTCCCCACCTTGGGCCCCCAAATGTTCTTGGACTGCAGCTCCCAGAAATCCTGACCAGCACAGCTAGTGCTGAAGGCTTCTGGAGGTTTTAGTCCAAAAACATCTGGGGACCCAAGGTTGGGAACAACTGGACTAGGGAGATCCACACTTGGCTATGGACGAGTCTTGTTAGCATTGCTCAGAGTTCTTCTGAAGATAAAGTAAGGATGAGGAGAGTCCCGTCTGCTCCCTTTAGCTGGTTATACACAAGGAGATGGGAATAACATAAAATGCAGCAGCAGAAAAAAAATCAACAGCCCGTTATAAAATAATGTGAGACAGTGTGCATAAAACATATTATTTCCTTTTGAAAGTTGCACATATGCACCAAAGAATCATTTTAATTGGACAAAATGGAACATATGGTCCTCTAGATGTTGCTGCTGCCTTATCCACAGTAATCAGCAGTGCTTGCTGGAATGGACAGGAGTTGCAGTCCAACAACATCTGGAGGCCTGTGGGATTCCCTATCCTGTCTCCATCACGTTGTCAGCAGTTAACTGAGTAGACATCACCATCCTCAGGGTATTATATGTGGATATATTATGCACTTATAAGTGAAGTGACAGGCATATGAGTGTGTTTTGGTGCTTCTTCCTCCTTGTTTATGTGATAAACCTATTGGAAGCTTTTCTGAGGACCAAGGTGGGTGTGAACATCCTTCTTGCATTCTCACTTTTAGTGAGACTTACTTTTAGTGAGATTTTGGCCAAAATCATACATGCCTGTAAGAGAGACAAAAACGTGAAGTACAGATTGTCTTCTGTACAAGCAACAGACATCTGCCAGTTGGTGGGTGCCTTTCAAATTAGCCCAAGATGAAGATCCTGGTTGCGGGGTCTGGCTGATGCTCACACATACTAACATGAAAGCTCAAAGCTGAATTCCAAATCTGAAAAAGCAAGTAGTGGTTAATTGATTGTACTGAAGTAATTGTTGTTTGCATGTGCTTAAAAGCTTTTGTCAAAAATTGTGTGATACTGTGGAGTGACATTCCTGGCAGGGGAAGCAGATCCCTGGAGAAAGCTCTGGTGCAGATTCTGTAGCATTAAGATCTTTTAATCAAGTCTAATGTGCTAGGAGAGACATTTAGGAGACCTTGTGAAATAATTCTGCATCTGTGCACCAGTTTTAGAATTTGCTGTTTGGAGATTCAAGCTTTTAGTCAGGACTTAAATAACTGTCTATTCAGAATGCTGGTGTGTGTCCATAACTGTATGATACATACTGCAGCCCTTCTAGTTTAGAATTTGATTAGCCAGGGTGGTTTGGATGGGTAGTAAAATAGTGCTGAGTGCTTTCTCAGTTTAGTCATTGGATGCAGAGAATAACAATGTCGCCTCTCTGTCAGATTATAATTGGATGTACCACCTCCACTGCTGCTTTTTGCTCCCCTTGAATGGATTTCCTAGGGTGTGGATCCTGATTCAGTAGTACAACCTAAGTCCATCCCCCCTCAACCAGCATAATCACCTTTTTGACAGGTGAGTGGCAGAGCTCTTTGCATGCATTTGTTTGTCGGGCATGAAGATTTCTTGATTGGGACAGAGAAAAAAATTTAAATTTGGTTGAATAGAAGTGCTTCACTGTTCTTCACATCGCCTCATTTCCCCTCACTCTTCCCCTTGAATCAAAGAGCTCTTGACTGCACCAAAGAGTTGCCCTCTTAGGATTGGAAAAGATCAGTCTACATCCCAATCCCAAAGAAAGGCAGTGCCAAAGAATGCTCCAACTACCGTACAATTGCACTCATTTCGCACGCTAGCAAGGTTATGCTCAAAATCCTGCAAGGTAGGCTTCAGCAGTATGTGGACCGAGAACTCCCAGAAGTACAAGCTGGATTCCGAAGAGGCAGAGGAACTCGAGACCAAATTGCTAACTTGCGCTGGATTATGGAGAAAGCCAGAGAGTTCCAGAAAAATATCTACTTCTGCTTCATTGACTATGCGAAAGCCTTTGACTGTGTGGACCACAGCAAACTATGGCAAGTTCTTAAAGAAATGGGAGTGCCTGACCACTTTATCTGTCTCCTGAGAAACCTATATGTGGGACAGGAAGCAACAGTTAGAACTGGTCATGGAACAACTGATTGGTTCAAAATTGGGAAAGGAGTACGGCAAGGCTGTATATTGTCCCCCAGCTTATTTAACTTATATGCAGAATACATCATGCGGAAGGCTGGACTGGAAGAAACCCAAGCCGGAATTAAGATTGCCGGAAGAAATATCAACAACCTCCGATATGCAGATGATACCACTCTGATGGCAGAAAGTGAGGAGGAATTAAGGAACCTTGTAATGAGGGTGAAAGAGGAGAGTGCAAAAAATGGTCTGAAACTCAACATCAAAAAAACTAAGATCATGGCCACTGGTCCCATCACCTCCTGGGAAATAGAAGGGGAAGATATGGAGGCAGTGTCAAATTTTATCTTCCTGGGCTCCATGATCACTGCAGATGGAGACAGCAGCCCTGAAATTAAAAGGCGCCTTCTTCTTGGGAGGAAAGCGATGACAAATCTTGACGCATCTTGAAAAGCAGAGACATCACCTTGCTAACAAAAGTCCGAATAGTCAAAGCTATGGTTTTTCCTGTCGTGATGTATGGAAGTGAGAGCTGGACCATAAAGAAAGCAGACCGCCGAAGAATTGATGCCTTTGAATTGTGGTGCTGGAGGAGGCTCTTGAGAATCCCCTGGACTGCAAGGAGAACAAACCTATCAGTTCTAAAGGAAATCAACCCTGAATGCTCACTTGAAGGACAGATCCTGAAGCTGAGGCTCCAGTACTTTGGCCATCTCATGAGAAGAAAAGAGTCCTTGGAAAAAACCTTGATGTTAGGAAGGTGTGATGGCAAGAGGAGAAGGGGACGACCGAGGATGAGATGGCTGGACAGTGTCTGCGAAGCAACCAACATGAACCTGACACAACTCCGGGAGGCAGTAGAAGACAGGAGGGCCTGGCGTGCTCTGGTCCATGGGGTCACGAAGAGTCGGACACGACTAAACGACTAAACACAATGTGCTAAAAGTCGGTTTAGGAGACCTTGTGAAATAATTCTGCATCTGTGCACCAGTTTTAGAATTTGCTGTTTGGAGATTCAAGCTTTTAGTCAGGACTTAAATAACTGTCTATTCAGAATGCTGGTGTGTGTCCATAACTGTATGATACATACTGCAGCCCTTCTAGTTTAGAATTTGATTAGCCAGGGTGGTTTGGATGGGTAGTAAAATAGTGCTGAGTGCTTTCTCAGTTTAGTCATTGGATGCAGAGAATAACAATGTCGCCTCTCTGTCAGATTATAATTGGATGTACCACCTCCACTGCTGCTTTTTGCTCCCCTTGAATGGATTTCCTAGGGTGTGGATCCTGATTCAGTAGTACAACCTAAGTCCATCCCCCCTCAACCAGCATAATCACCTTTTTGACAGGTGAGTGGCAGAGCTCTTTGCATGCATTTGTTTGTCGGGCATGAAGATTTCTTGATTGGGACAGAGAAAAAAATTTAAATTTGGTTGAATAGAAGTGCTTCACTGTTCTTCACATCGCCTCATTTCCCCTCACTCTTCCCCTTGAATCAAAGAGCTCTTGACTGCACCAAAGAGTTGCCCTCTTCTCAGCAGATGTGTTTCTGTTCTCATTCTGAAGAGTTTAAACAGTCAGGAAACTGTGGCTGCTGAACTGCTAGCTTGGGGTTTTCATGGCCAGGAAAGTGTCTCCTGCAAGGGAGGCGGCAGGAGAGAGGGCAAGTGCCGATTGCCATTTGGCAACTGCTGTTTGCACCCAGGAAGATAGTATGGTTGAAACTATAACACGTTACAGCTAATTTGCTGAATGGCCTTACTGTGTGTTCACTCTGGACTTAATTCTGTCACCACCTTCACATATTCTTTTCATTTAGAACACATTTTGTCACTTTTCCAATTAAGGATATTGAACATTAAATACTCCCCAATAGTGAGAACCATAAACATTGGATGAAAAGCTTGGATTTTTGGAATGAAAGTTTGGATCCGTCCTCACCACAAGAGTCTAGGAGGAAGAGGCAGGAGGCTCCAGGTTCATCTGATGGATTATATGTTGCCCATCTGAGGCTTGGAGAGCAATGTGGCTACTTATAGGAATTGTTTCTCTTGGATTTTTGAACGCTTCCTCCCCTCCATAGTTTTAAGTCACTATGCCAAAGTGCCTCCTAAGTTTTTAGCCAAGCTTGACTTAACAGCTTCCTCTTAATAGCCTGCTCTGTTCACTGTGAATTAAGGACTTCATTCATTCTTATGCTTGGTGAATCTCAAATATGTAGCATTTTGCAGTCTTTTAATATTAATAAGGTTGTACCAAGTACGCCATGTTCCTTCTCAGCAGGAACACCTGAGGGCATTGATGTGTGTTTTCCCTTCTCAGGAGGAAATATTTATCACCTGTGTCTATGTTACATTCTGTTCCAGAATTTCAAAAGCTGTGTTGGCGCCATACTTTCGTTAGGCCAATTGATAGGGTGCAAAAGGTGTGAAAGCTGTTGAGATCTCCAGAGCTCCTTGTCAGGCAGGATGTTTCAGAAGGCAGGGCAGGATAGAAGAGAAAAGAAAGAACACTGATTAGGCCCAGCCTCGGTATCCAGTTGAAGCCAAGGAGGATAGGCTTGCAGACATATGCAGTAAATGAATTTGCACTAGATGAAATGACAGCATTAGGTTTCAAGATTAGGTTGATGCTTCAATAACCAGTGTGACAAAAAATCTTGAAGACAATACAAATACAGGTAGGCCATTTTTTGGAAAGGAGAGGATCTATATTCTTCCTGATCCTAGTGTCTGCTTGCGAACTAAAGGAAGTAAGATGGTAGTCCCAGAGAATTCTCGTGTTTAACGACTGCACTGCACCAACTGTAGCTCTGTTCCTTTTTTGCTTGTCAAGCCTGTTGAGAAGATAAAAATCTCAACACTTCTCCAACAGTAAAAATATGGCCACTGTTTAGGTTGAGTCCGTTTTTCTTCTTTTTCAGGTGTATTTGGTGTCAGCAAACTGTGCACGACGAATGTATGCAGAACTCTTTGAAGAACGAGCAGTGTGAACTGGGGGAATTTCGCAACCTCATTATCCCTCCATATTATTTATTCAACGTCAGTCAGATGCGTAAAGACAAACAAATGGACTATGGCAAGGTAAGCCTCAATTTGTTCGTTGTGTACTTATGGAAGTTAAAGAGTGGATTCCCCAGTGATGTAGTGCAGAAGCAGCAGGGTGGGTGAGTATTCTTTCCCTGTGCTCTGATATGTTGCATTAAGGCAAATATAAGAACTCGTTTCTTATCTGTTTTCGTTCTTTTGCAGCTAGCTGCTTCCTGTGGTGAAAATTGGACTCCATTAATAATTCTGGCCAATACTCGGAGTGGAAACAATATGGGGGAAACATTAATGGGCCAATTTAAGATCTTGCTGAACCCAATTCAGGTAATAGCACTGCTTCAGTGGAACTCCAGGCACTGCAGTCTTTTTGCCTAAATAGAAATGGAACACATGCTCATATATTTCGACATCTTGTTAACAACCTTAGGTCAAATGGGTTTTCCCGTTCCGTATAGCGATGTTTCCCCATAACGAAGGTTAATCCGGAACGGATTAACCTCGCTATGCGGGGCACCACTGTATAAGGAATAAACCCTATTGGAAATGAGTAATATTTCTGACTAAATTAGGTATGATTGCATGGTAAGAAGAAGAATGATATAGTAGTTAAATGACTGGCTTTGGGAAGATTTGAGTTGAAATTTCTACTCATTTTGAAAGCTCACTAGGTAATCTTGGGCCTCTGTTGCTCTGTGAGACAAAAAAAAATTGTCTTTTTCCCTATCATACTGACCCCAGTTTGCATGAGTAGAGTTTAGGGGGCTGCAGCTGGATATTTAGATCTTATGTTTACTCTTAATCCCCTTTATTGTAAGATAGAGTTTGCTAGAATAAATTTGTTTGTCTCATCATAGTTTAGCCTAAAAACATGTAAAAGAAGATAATTTTTACCCCAAAATAGCTATAGATATTTGTGCCAAAGGCCTCATGTAAAAAAAATATATCTAGTCCAAGCTGGGTTTTTTTGTTAAAGCTGTGGCTAGATTTGCTGGAGAAATCACAAGTGGCTTAAACAGCTAATTGAATTTTCTCTTCTGCTTCAGGATTGGGGGGGGGCAGGATAGTGACAGTCTTCCAAAGAATAGTACGCATTCACTAAGCACCCAATATCCATAGTCTGTGGCCTTGTCTTAGTTTCCTGGGTCTGCTAAATTGATGGCATAGATGCCACGGCTGTAGGGTGATCTCTGGTGCCTGTTTGTGATGACATTGAGCAGCAGTCTTTGTCTTATTTATAGGCCACCTTTCTCCCCATAAAGGGACATGCAATGGTATTTTGTAAAGTTTTCTTTCCAGTTGTTTTGGAGGTTGTTTGTACAATAAGGTGTATGCAAAGGGCCACAAAGCTTCGTATCTCTCTTGCACTATTTTAATATCTGTGCGTTGAACATGGCACTGTTACGATACCTCCCTCCATGAGGGTGTTGCAGAATGGTTACAGTGCTGCTGTGGCAGGGGGTTTTTTGAGTGGTAATGCAAAAAGGTCTTTATTTCTCAGTTTGAAATTGGCTTTAACCTGCAGAAAGGAATTCCTTGCAGAGAATGTGAACTGGGTTTAATAAGAGAAGAAATGCCCATTGCTGTCCTCATCTTCCCTCTGCACATATTTCTTCTTTAAAGCTTTACCAAAATATGCAACTTATGTTTGGAAATGCTTGGACTTTTCTTTTTGTTATGTCACTTGAACTCAACCAGGGGGTTAACTGCGTTTTAAACAGTCCTAAGGAGTAACACATCTGATGTATTCTGTAATATGTTCTCTGTAACCATATCTCTCTTGTAAAGGCATGACAGGAGAACATTGTGCACAATGCATTTCACCTAGGCCTAATTTTTATACAGTAGTATCGGTGCAGCTTGTGCATCTTTGGGCACACTGCACAGTCTCTGCATACCCCCAGAAGATAGGAATGGTGAACCATTTCTGAGTACTCTGTACCTAGGAAACCCTGGAAAGAGTCTCCGTAAGTCAGAATTGACTTGGCAGGACATGTTGTTGTTATTATTATCAGTGTTCCAAAGTATTCGTTTCCTTTCTTGAAGAAGTGCCAGTATTTAACCTGTGACATAAATGACTCCAAAGTTGTAAGTAAGCTCTTATTTTCAAAACAAATTTTCTAGGTTTTTGATCTGACCAAAACAACACCAGCGAAGGCGCTTCAGCTTTGCACCTGGCTGCCCTGCAGATCAATTAGGGTGCTTGTCTGCGGTGGAGATGGTACGGTGGGCTGGGTCTTAGATGCAATTGATGACATGAAGATTAAGGTATCATGTTCTGGAGTGACTTGGCATGCCCTTTCTTATCAAGGTTCACTTACCCACTGTTCCCTTTACCCTCTATCTGCTCAAAATTCATCCTGCCTGATACTGCATGCTAGACAAGTGACACAGTAGCTTCCAGAGTAAATTTATAATGCACCAATTCTTAATGGTTTCCATGCCTTTTTTTTCCTCAAGAGCAGTGGTGCTGGTAGTGGTTTTATAAAAAGGAGCCAGGGTAGTTATTCTCAACAAAATTTAAAGTATTGGGGGCCTCTGGTCTGGAGGGAGGAGGTGCCTTGCTCTGCCATTTTGGGGTGAGGTACTCTCCTTTGTAGCAATTGTAATTAAAACACTGATTTATACAGTGTGATGTTAAATAAAATAGTGCAAATAAGTTGGTTCTTCCCCCCCCCTTGAGTATTTTTGTGATTATCTTTTAATGTTTCCTAGTAAGACCGTCACTAGTTGGCATATGCTTAACAAGTCTTGAGACTTTTCTTTTTCTTTTTTTATAGCAGACGATCATTTTTTTGGCATGCATGTGCACATTTAATTATTTACAGGAATTGCTCTGTCTTGAAGCAGGAGTTTAGAAACTCTTCCAGAATTGTCATTCGTCCTTTCCCTAAACTTGCAAATTTTGCCATTGCTTAATCTGTGTGCAGATATGTATTAGGGCTCAGATCATGTTACAAATCATGTTCTATACCATAAACACCCTTGACCCCAATGCTCGATATCTGTGGGAAGTATTTGCCAGGGAGGGGACTTAGGGTCAAACTGAAGTCGCACCGCGGACTCGACTCGGACTCGACTTGTGTCTGAGTTGGGTTTCTTTTATTTTCAATGACTCGGGACTTGCAGCTCAGAACGCACCCAGCCTTCCCTTTTATCTAAGGGGGAAAAGCTTGTTTTTAATAGGGATTTTATAGGGATTTGGAACCCAGGACTAGGTACTAAAGACTCAAACTTGGAACTTAGTGGTACCAAAGACTTGCCAACATCCCTGGTATTTGCTTCTAATCAGCTGTTGATATTAAGGGCATCATGTAGAACAAGTCTTTGTCATTACTTCCCAGGCTGAAGCCTAGTGGGCCACTGGAGAACACTTTGCAGGCTTCCCATCTTGCAGTTAAAAAGCACCTACTAATTATGTCCACAAGTAACGGATTCAGGTTCCCACCGTTCTGAAACATATTGCTTTCTAAGCACCCCTCATTTCTTTTGGTGCCTGGAATATACTTAATCAGTACATTAAAGGAGAATTACATGCTCCTTTCCTTACATGCTATCATTAGCATGTAACTTTGCCATCTGCTCCCTGTAGACTCAGCTGTACTGTTTAGTAATAATCCTTGAAGCAGATTTTAAATTAATGGTACTTACCCAGTCTTTTAAATTCAGGGATTAAATGTGGGGAGGCAGGAAGCAGCAGCCTCATAAAATTGGGAGCCTTAAAATTGAATGACTGCTTTTGTACAGCAGGGCCAAGAGCAGTACATCCCACAGGTTGCCATCTTACCCTTGGGAACAGGGAATGATCTCTCCAATACCCTGGGCTGGGGTGCCGGATATGCCGGAGAAGTCCCAGTGGAGCAGATTTTACGCAATATCATGGATGCGGATGCCATCAAGTTGGACAGGTGAGCTCAAGAGCTAACGGTTTCCTCTGAATGATTCCCCTTTTTAAGCCTGTCTGTGATATTGACAGAGGAAGCTGAAGTTGCATGCTCCTTATGACGTTTGTCCCCAGTTGTCTGCAGCTGTGGTGTAGAGAATCACCGTTAAATTAGTGCCAACCGGTAATGGGAGGGGGGCAGAGGAGAAGAGGGTCCAGTTTAACAGACCAAGAGTAAGGAGCCACACGGGAAGCAGCTGCGCATGGAAGCAAAGCCCAGGTTATTGGAGATCAAAGAGCCTTTTAGTAAGCAGCTTTGGAGAAACCTTCCATTTCAGTTTTAATCCAGACTCGTGAGAGCACATATCTAGTAGCACAGCCAATTTAGAAAACAAGGGCAGGCTGTTGATAGCTGAGGCACTATCAGCCCACAACATGTGGGGTGTGTAGATAAAATGAATGCATTCATTTTTATACAACAAATCTCTCCAGATGACTGATACTCATCAGCACAATCTACACAATTTAAAACTACATTAAACAAATAAACAACATTAAAATGTAGGCTAAGGGAAATTTTTTTTGTTTATTTAAATATTTCTAACCCGCATCTCTGTCCCCCTAGATTAGCAACTCTCAGGACAGGGTACTGTACAGTCTTTAAAAATTCTGTAACGATCTAGCAACAAATAAAGTAAAGCCTATAATAGATTTTAAAAAGATTGAAATAGTGAAGCCAGGTTGTAATTTGACACAGGCATTGACCAGTTAGGCCTCTGCTGAGAGAATGTTCCATAACCAAGAAAGCCCTCTCCTCCTCCTTCCAGTCGCAGCACAGTGCTAATTTGTCATTCTATATCAGCTGCAACCCTTTCTTTCAAAAGCTTTACAGAAAAGCTCGGTTCAGCAGTGTTGCGAAACAATACTCCTCACACAGGCATGCGTACATGTGGACGGGAGTGTGGAGTGTGTGAGTGGGCTGGAGTGTGCACGCATTCACGCGTGTTCCTTTCGCCCTTGAAAATTTTAAAAATGTATTATGTGCCCCTCTGTGTGAAAAGTTTCAAAGGCCGTGCTCTAGGCTGTATATAAAAGGTTGATTTTAATTCTGATGAAGAAAGGTTAGCGTATCCCATTGGTATGTAGAAGGACTGAATATAGAAGTTTCTAAAGAAAGTTCTATAGTGTTACAATAGCCATGTTGAATGACTTCCTCAGCTGTTCTTTGGCGCCCCCCCCCCAAAAAAACCCCACATCTTAAAAAGTTGCTTATGTGTGATGCTAGTTTCAAGAAGTGGGCAAAGTGGTGAAAGCTGAGAGTACAATCTCTAACATTTCAGGTGTTTCTTTTATTACTCTTTTTAATCTATTGGCCTCTACTGATTTTTGACCTTTTGGTTTTTTTCCCTTTTAGATGGAAGGTACAGATTACAAATAAAGGATACTACAATTTAAGAAAATTAAAGGTATGGTGTGAAGGTGGAGTGTATATAATTGTAGACAACTGCTAGCAAGCCATGTCAGCCTTGCCGGTTGCTGGAATTCCTGGATGCTCCAGCCCTCCAGATGCTGTTTAAGGGCACCTCTTCTCCCACCCCACTTCCTTATGCTTGGCTACACCATTTAAGACTGATGAGAGCTGGAGTAGGACAACATCTGGAGGGCCACACTTTGCCTGTCCCTCCCATAAAGAATCCTGAACTAGGTAGATCTTGAATTCCTAAAGCACTGCTGAAGCCATCATGGGCCATCGGGGTCTGCCTCTAGCATAGAGATAACTCTGAAGTTTCAGGGCAGGGATTGTCCTCAATGTAGGCCTACTTCTCCCAAATGGCAGAGGAGATGGTGGAACATGTATTTGGTTTGTACCATTTCATTTTGCATGCGGGGGCTCCCATGACAGACGGCTTTTCCACTTGAAAGCAGGAAGGATTCTGTATATACAGTACACAACTAGGCTTCAGAGGAAGAAGGCTGAACTATTCAGGAGTTCTGGGGGCTTAGCAGAATTGTTCAAAATAAGTGAAGGAATGTTTTTTGTGGAGGAGCGTTGCATTATGTAAATCATGAATCAGTGAACTGTGAAGGTAGGAAAGAGACCTGCAAAAGTTGTTTTTGTGCCCCTCATCAGATTCTCTCCCAAAGGAGATTGGGGGCAGGGGAAGAGAAAATTTGCCCCACCTTTACGTAGGCCTTCACTTGCAGTCTGAAGTGCAAGTTTCCCATTTGTATATGAGACCTAGCAGATAGGAAGACTTTTTAGATCCGAATTTCACTGTGTATACTAGGCAAGGATGCAACATGAAGAACTGCAAGGAGATTGGCAGTGCATCCCAGGGAGATCTGAGGATGTATCAGTGTACTATCCAAGTGTTCTCACCAACACACTGCTGTATCATCAGTTCCAGCATTCCTCTGTTTAGTGTTGTGCAGGCTGATCCTGTGCATCTTTCCTGGAAAGTAAATCCTCCTACATTCATTGGGTCTTAATCTCAAGTAGCCATGTAGAAAATCACCATTTAATGTTACTTATTTTTAAAAAATACTTTTTGTCATTTTTTGCATACAGGGTGGTTCAGGATTTGAACAGAAGTAGTTCATTGGGAGGATCAAAGTGATATGGCAGGATATAGGTTTGTTTTTTTGGGACTTAGGGGGCCAATCTCACCAGATGTTGGATTGCAACTCCTATCATCCCTGACATCTAGTTCTGCTTGTTTGGGCTGATGGGAACTGCAGTTCAGCAACATCTGGAGGGCTACAGATTCTCCAGCAGGCACCATTCCTGCACTTTCTCATGGATTTTTAATGGCTTCTGCTCTGTTTTTGCAGGTCTTCACAATGAACAACTATTTTTCTATTGGACCTGATGCACTCATGGCTTTAAACTTCCATGCTCATCGTGAGAAGTCTCCCTCTCTATTTACCAGCAGGATTATTAACAAGGTATGCTGGATGAAACCAAAGCTTTGTCCCATTGGACTGGATCATTATGGGAGATTTATTCTACCCATTTCTTCGAAGTTCTGTTAATTACAAGCACATGCAGTTGTCTCATTTGCAGACAGTTGATTCATAGCTAGTGTGTTGTAATTCATTTTTAGAGTCCTATTGGCTTAGGTCTAGACTTAATCATAGTCCCACTGACATCAGTGGCCAGGATCCTGTTCAGATCAAACTGCTTGCACTGCAGCCTTAGTACAGGTGGTCTGACTTTCAAGGATTTTGTACAAGGGACATCCAGCACCTCCTTATACAAGCATAACTGAGCCAGTTGTGATGAAGGATTTCCACTTGTATAAAGATGCCGTCTGTGCAAGGATGGGAGACCACACTACTCCTCAGGCAGGGTGTTAGGTTGGACAGGATTCGGGGCAGTGGAACCTGGATTAGCCATGACAAATAGCGTTCTCTTGATTTACCGGCCAAAGACACTAGTTTTATTGATAAATGATCTGGGCTTTCTGGTTATGAATATTATCATTAATCCTGCTCTCTCATTTTCACTGTGTCTGAAGAGGCCTTAAATCTTATCAGTGGAGGTGGGTACCTGATGAAAGTGGATTTAAAAGGGAAATCTATACATATCAAAATTCGTCATACTATTTTATTTACCTGTAATGCTGCTGTCCCTTGATTAAGAAATGCTGGCAACATTTTGTGCTAATTGATGGTTTTGGACCAGCCATTCTATGAGTCCTGTTGAAGAGGGAAAGCACTGGTTGCCTTAGACATTTATTGTCTGGATGGCTGAGGTGGATGCAGCAAGATACAGAGTATATCAAAAGGAAATGTACAGATGCCCTGACTGCCAGGGAGCTCTGCTGGATCCAGCTGGACACAGTCCCTGCTGAGATATGGTGCCACGTATACTACCAGTTGCCCATTTTGTTCAGGGAGTCTAAATGACCTGGACATCCAAAAGGGGGTTTATAGCCTTGCCTCCCTAAACTGAAACTGGCAGAGAAGAGGATAGCCACTGCCTCCTTACGAGCACAACTGTTATATGCTGAGTGTATACTCCTCTAGGTCCATTTGAATCAATGGAACTTATGGTGGAATGGACTCATCAAATCCCCACTGATTCAGTGGACTTACTGTCATGCAATTTAACTAAACTAAGTAACAGGATTTCAACCAGTGTATTTTATAGAGCAATATTTAAATCCAGTACAGAGCTTTCCACAAAATGACTAATTTTGCACGGGACCAGTGCTTAGTGTGACTATTTTAAAAATTGACGTCAGTTCCAGTCAATTTTTTAATGGATAAGGACTATGGTAACTTCATCAAGAATTTTATGTTAATATGTGAAAGAGAGGAGTTACTGAAGATTTGAAACAATGAATATTTAGTATTCTAGAAATAGAATAAGAATTATAAAGTTCTGTGTTTAGAATTTTCCTTTTTTCAGAATTGTAGTATTTCTAACTAGCATTACTAGCATTATTACTTTCTGGGGGCTAGGCCTGTGGCAGAGAAGACTCCTCTAGGTATAGTGTTTGTCTTTAACAATCATCATTTTCCTTCCCTGTCTCCAACCTATAAGCACATACTCATCTCTGGATTTTTTTAGGCTGTTTATTTTTTCTATGGAACCAAAGATTGCCTTGTACAGGAATGTAAGGATTTGGACAAAAAGATTGAGGTAAGAGCATTGCTTTTGACTTTTTGTAGTTAATGTTTTCTTTTAATCCAGCAGAAATATAGTGTTCTCTGTATGCAGGAGTCATTAAATTAAGAATATACTCAGACAGTAAATACTTAGCCTCCAGAGCAGATAGAAGTTAAAAGCATGCAGCAGGGCTTTCCAAAAAAGGAGGGTGGTCTGCAATAATGCAGGAGTCATTAAATTAAGAATATACTCAGACAGTAAATACTTAGCCTCCAGAGCAGATAGAAGTTAAAAGCATGCAGCAGGGCTTTCCAAAAAAGGAGGGTGGTCTGCAAGCTGCTGCAGTCAACAGTCATTAAATATTTTTACTTTTTATTTCCCTTCACTCCTGTTTTTCACATTTCTAAATGCTTTGAGCCACCCAATCAGGTTGTCTTAGGGCACTCAGAACAACTTGAAACAAAGAGGGTGCTTGGGTCCTTGTGCATTCCTTCTTGACATGCTCAAAGGTCTTTTTTTTTTTGCATCAGTTTCTTGTTTGTGGAGTTTGCTAACAATCTGCTGTATACCTTTAAAGCTAGAGTTGGATGGAGAGAGAATTCACCTACCCAGTTTGGAAGGCATCATAGTTCTAAATATTGCCTACTGGGGAGGTGGCTGCCGACTCTGGGAAGGAATGGGAGATGAGCTTTATCCTTTGGCAAGGTGAGAATTGTGTCTTCTGTTGTATGTGATCTATATGAATCTGGCTGGGGTCTTGGGACTATTTGTCAAGTAAAAAATGTGTTTGTAGTATCCTTCCAATTGGGCCGAGCTCTTCCTGGCAAAGATGTCTTTCTCCAATGCCACCCTGTGGTCCATTATGATTGTTGTGCTGGCCTGTTTTCTCCCCCCATCCAGCCCATCAGAGCCCTTGCAGGCTTTTCCTTTGTTTTGCCCTGGTCACTTACTATCCAGCCTTTTCCAGCTGGTGGAAAGAAAACAGAAAGCTCAGCACAAGAGTCTTCACCCTTGAACAACAACCACCTTTTCAAAAATGTGTTGGGTTGGCTAGCCCAACAACCTCTGTAAAAAAAATTATGTAGAAAAGAAAAGACATACAGCCTTGTTACTCTCTCACTGTTTCTCTCTCTCTCCTCCCCCCCCCAATCTCCTTTCCAAGTGGTAGTAAGAAAAAGCAATATGTTACCCCACTTTTCTTTTTTTGCACATAAAAAGTTGGGTATGCTGCCAGTGAAGCTTCAGTCTTCTCACCATCTTCACTGGCCCAGAACACCAGTGGTGGAAATGTTCTTTATGACACCCAGCCTCTTCTGTGTTTTGAAAAAAAAACAGCAGGACAGCTATCTACCACTGCCAGGCATTTTCAGACCCCACTGACTGGAGTCCTGCAACAACAAACACAGCAATGTTTGTTGTTGTTTTTAACTTATGGGATAGCTTAAGGTTTTTTTTACTATTGCATTCTTTTTAATTTTGTGTATAGTATGCGGCTTCATGTACTATTCCTTTATTGTAGTGTGGCTCACCTTCTTTCTCTCTTAGGCATGATGATGGGCTGCTGGAAGTTGTTGGGGTCAATGGCTCTTTTCACTGTGCACAGATTCAGGTGAAGCTTGCCAATCCTATCCGGCTGGGACAGGCCCACACTGTGAGGGTAAGTGACATGCCTGCAGGGCTGAGGGGCTGGCAGGGGTAGATTCACACAACTGCTTTCCACATTCTTCTGATGCTGAATGTAAAGGTTCAGAAAGCTTCCCAGGAAGAGAAGGATGTCCTGAGTTCATTCCCCAAGCTGAATCCTTAGAGACAGTCATGAGCAAAACAAGTTCACTTTTTAAAAGCACATTACCTTTGCTGGCTGGAAAGTTCTGAGAACAGCAGTCCCAAAACTTAGCTTTTCTAGGCTCTGGTCAAAAAGACTGTCCACATCTTGTGGGTCCTACCAGTCCACTTAAATACAGTGGGCAGGCTTGTCAAAGTAATGGAAGACTGCCAGGAGTCTATGAGTTGCATTATGATGTTTCCTCTCTAAAATAAGTGCTGAACAATATGCTTTTGGGTAAACTATTGATGTCTTTGCCCTGGGCTTTCATCTGGAACGAGTAGGCAGCTTACAGTAGGTTGCTGCCACTGAAATTCAATGGATATTGGTAAAGTCACACCCACATGTTGGCTCTCATATACCAGATTCCGTTTTGAGTGACCATTTAGAAGCCTCCCAAACCATGTACGTGAAATGTCTGTCAGTGTCGTTCACAGTTGTCAGGAGAGAATGAGATGGATGGGCAGTTGCAAGTACAACAGAGTACCTTTTAGCCATGGATTTCTTGCCTCACCCTGACTCGAAGTCCGAGTCAGTAATAGCATTGAGTGTATTTTCTGTTGTGAAAGAAAGTCACCTAGTATGGGAAGAGGAAGAGGAGATGGTAGTAAGGAAACATGGGTCTGTGCCATCTACTAATCTGACCCAGGAGACTCCCTTTCACATGCAACCCACACACTGCTTCATTCAAAATTATACACCAACCACTGCAGCCATGCACAGCATGACCCCTGTTTCCCACAAAAAACTAATTCTTTCCTAAGCATTTCTCTTTTTTAACAAGCAAGACATGGTCACTTCCCTTGTTTCTCCTCCAGAACAGCACACTCTCAAATTCATGACAGTCCACTCAATGTACTGCTGCCCTCACACATCCCCCACATTTCCCTTTAAACCCAAGAGTAATTTATACTTTTCCTAAACTTGCTGTAACCTGTTGTTAAATTGCACAGGTCAATCTCCTTCAAACAGCATTTTAAAAGAGCCCCGAATTTTTCACTATATTTTTTTTCTTATTTTTCCTCGCCAATTTTTGGTACTAATCTGTGTTTCTTTGCTGTCTAACCAAGAGGGGAAGCCCCCGTCCTGCAGCTAGGAAGGAAGTGCATGCTGCTTACTGTATTTTTCTGTATATAAGATGCTAATTTTTCTAAAATTTTTAGACTAAAAATTGAGGGGTGTCTTATACATGGAAGTAAGTTGAGGAGAGAACAAAATGGCCCGTACCTTGCCTCTGTAAACAGGCTTTCTTCAGTCACGAGGCTTAGCTTCCTACAGTTAGGAGCCTTATGGAACTGACAGCTGACACTGAATAAACCAATTGGAACACACCTCATTGGCAGTGGAGCCTGTAGGCTCAGATGCAACAGGGACTCATAATGTCTGAGCATTCTGAGCCCAGAGGCTGGATACTCAAAGCAGTTAAGATTTCTTAATTTGGGGGTTAGGAAAGGGGGGGGAATCTTATAAACGGAAAAATACGGTAGCTTGCATGCATTTACTTGGCTGTCATAGTAGAGATGTTAAGGCATTTGGTTGGAGCATTCTGTACCAGCTCTGTGATTCAGCCTCACTTGGCTTTCAAGTTCTATGTCTGTAGCTGCTTGTTTTTTTCTTTCTTCCTTCCAGTTGATTTTGAAGAATTCGAAGATGCCAATGCAGGTCGATGGAGAGCCTTGGGCCCAGGGGCCTTGCACTGTTACCATAACTCACAAGACCCATGCATTGATGCTGTATCACTCAGGTGAACAGACAGATGATGACGATGACGTGTCCAGTGTCTCTGAACAGGAGTTGGCTAAAGATCAGTTGGATGGGGATACATAGGTCTCAGCCCTATTTCCATGCACTGACTGGTAGTGGTAATTTGGTTTTTGCTGACAAGCTTAGCGCTAAATAGTCTTTCTCCAATAGACCTCTTAATGCCATGTTGTCTCTCTACTTGTATATGGCACTGGAGTAACTAAGCCATGCTTGCAAGTGATTAAGAAATGCTGAGCCAGGCTTGGATGCAGCAAACAGGGTGGCTTTGGTGTCTAATATTATGCTGACGTGGCAAGGTGGAGAGTGTTTAGGGTGACATGACGCGGGACTGCTTGGCTGGCAAAACTAAATCTTCATTGAGCACTGAGCATTTGTGTAGAGTTCTGTGGAGCAGCGACCAGATGTTCCTGGATTGACATTGGTATAGATCTAATTTTGATCATGCTATCATTTGAGGCCTCAGAGTTCTGAGGAAAAGCTCACTTCACACTGCCCAGTTCAGAAGCACGGGGGGGGGGTGCCTCCTTCCCCTTCTCCTCCTCATTTGCACATTCCTTTGTCCTATTTTGTTTTTTGGTGCTACCTGTGATGCACCAGATTTTTTTTTAGAGTGCTTAGCTTTGAAAAAGAAAGACAGTGCAACCTTTGCTTCTGGAGAAGAGCTCAGGATAATTGTCTTGCTGACAGCTGTGTGTCCACATAAGGCCCCAGCCAGCTTCACTTGCAGCAAAATTGCTTGCATTAAGTGTCACTAGACCTTATGGTTTTTAGTCATTTCTATCATAGCATTTTATTTTAAAGGCTGAGCAGAGAAAGGTTTTGAGTTGTGTGTTGTTCACCTAACCAGCCAAGACCCAGGATTCACAAATTGTTTAGCGTTGTTGGTATGTTAATCTTCTTTCTCTCTGAATGATTAGAGATCAAAAAACTACTTTGGACTCTCTGAATCAGGTTTATGAGTGACCATTAATATAAACAAACTATTCAGACAAGTGTAGAGATGGCATGTTGTCCCCTCCCCCTCCCACAATAACTTACTTTTTTTCTGGGAGATATGGTGTGTTGGCAGAATTCATGGGATATATACACCCAGGGGTTTTGATCAGCTATCCAACAGTCTTCATATTTGAAAGGAACTGGAGTAGAAGTAATTTTATTTTATTTTTTAAAAAAAAACCTTACTAAAATGCCACCAACATTCTGATTGTATTCTGATTGTTAAATGAGAACATTTAACACAACAAATGACAATATTATCAACGATCTCTCGACTGGCTTTTAAGATACATTTCTGCTCCTGCTTGTGGCGAGGGGCTGTGACTCAGGAGAGTTTCTTGCTGGAGGAAAGCGAGGGAGTCAATTTTTTGCCAGTCTGGCTTTCAGCCTGCCTGCCCAGCCCTTACCATATTGTTCTAGAACAGGGGTCTCTTCAGAGCAGTTTTGCAGGAGACAGTAGAAGATGTGTTGAAAATCACTGTGACCAGTGGGAGGTGCCTGGGGAGCAAGGTTCTTCTCAGAGCAATGGCTCTGAGTCTGCGTAACGTGAGCATGCCGAGGTTACGTGCGCAATGGTTTAGTTTTAGGGCACAATAGGTCAACACAGGAGCTCTCTATATATATCTATCCCATTGAAAGGAACGGAAGCTGTTCTTGGATCTTCCAGTCGTGTTTATGCAGGACATTTCCTTGTCAGATCAGGTGGCTTGGTCTTAACACTGAAGTTTTCTTGTCACTTTAAAAATAACCCCCAGTTCTCTTTTTGTGTGCACATACTGTATATGCCAATAATAGTTCCAGTGCATGCTATCTGGTTAGGTAGTATATTTCCACACTCTAAGATAATTGTCCCATGTAGCTTAAATTAAAGGCTGCCTCATTTGCATAAAGAAAAGTTTTGAGGTATTTTGACAAATCAAGCAACTTTGAACTCTGAGTAATTAATTTAAAAAAATAGTTTTAACGAGGTTCTTGGTTTCATGCAGCTAAGGAAGTAGAAGTGACAGACCAAATATTGTGCATTGGAGGCAACAGGATTGTATTTGTGTGTAGTTTTTTGTGTGTCAAACTTTCACGTGTAGTAATTAACTTTTTACTGCCTTTTTTTAAGTCAAGGAGATGTATATTTCTTCAGGGAGGTAGCCTCATATTTTGTTAGATATACATTCCACCCAAAGATCATTTTGAAGCCATGAATGTCTTCTGTACATGCATTTCTACAAAGGAATCACTCATGTAAGCAGTGGTCCAATACACAACTGTGGTCCAGAACATTATTGCTGGGAGGTCAAGGAGTAAGGGCCCTTTGGGCAACATGGGCCTCAGGTTGCCCTTGCATAGGAATTGGTTCTGGGAGATACAGTTGCATAGCTGAAGAAAATTGAAATGGGCCCTGGTCACTGCTTATTTATCAGCAGAAGTGGCTACAAAATTTTCATGGATGGACATTACTAATAAGAACAGTGAGAAAGAGTATAAATGTATAGCTGCATCCTATAAGCACAACAGACTAAGAAATAGGCTCCGAGCCATTAGATGGATTTTACATTTAAGGTGATATCCTAAAAAACCCAAACCCTGATAGTTTTGTTCTATTTATTTGTTATAATTCCCTTATTTTTTAAAAACTTTATTTAAATATTATACTCTGATTTTGAGTGTCTTGGTGTTTACATGGGCATAAAAGTAAATGGACCGTACTCTGAAATAGACATGCTCAGTCTTTCATTCTTTCCTGCTAAAGCATACGTTAATGTCGGTTCGGTACCTTGGAGGTAGCAATGTCCTTTCACCATTATTCTTCTGTTTTCTAGAGCACTTAATTTTATCAGAATTGTTAACCAAGTTCCTTCTGTAAGTGCTTTTTCTACCATTCCAGTCACTTGACTCTCCCTCCAAAGCGAACACATCCATCTGTCCTTAGACTCAATTGACCAGAAGTGTAACATTCTGTAAGTCCTGGTTCACATACTCGGTTTCAGGAATCTTCTGTATAAAATGGAACAATGAGCAGACATGCCTCCACGGAAGAGCTGATCAGCTATTACTTTTACCTTTTCTCTTCAATACGCGGGGCAGGGGAACACCCAGCTCTTTCCTCTCTGTTGCTGCTTTGCTCACATAGAAAAATGACGCATCTGAAGAGAAGAGACTTCTGTTGGTGCAGAAACTCTCCATGCGAGCCGCAGTCCTGTTTTGCCAGTTTTATGGCTCACACGGAGAGCCGCTATATGAACACGGACCTCATCAGACTTTTGCTTTCCATGTGAGGAAAGTGGCCATGGAGAAGAGTGGGGCTGGACACTCCCCTGTTTGCATGTTGAAGCGAACCAGGTAACTTAACACTGTGTTTGCGCATTATACACATATATCTCTGGTAAATAGTCTTCTTTGTTCTCCCTTCATCACCCTGCTGCCAAGCATACTCTGAAGGGAAGGAGTGAGCTGGTTAATGTTTACCATAAAAACCAAGGCTGGGGAACATGTCCCCTTTCCATATGTTGTTGGACTTCAGTTCCCATCAGCTCCTGCTAGCATAGGCAGCGGTAAGGGAAGAAGATGAAAGTTGCACCCAGCAAAATAGAGAGGCTCACACATTGCTCACCCCTTCACTGTATCAGGGTTTTGTGCTGTGTGCATCAATGCCAGTGAGCCTGAATGAAGTCTTAGGCTCAGGTAAACTCTCCCTGTATCTGTGCAACTGGTGGGGATTTTATTCACATTTCTTTCTCAGAGAAGGGGGGTTTGTTACATATGAACCAGAAAAAAATGATTCATAAGAAACTGGATAGTTAAAACAAGCCAACTTCAAAAACCATGATTTTAAGTGGCTTATTAGGAGCTTGATGTAGCCTTTGGTTCTGTGAAAGCGAAACCAAACACTGTCAAGGCCTTTTCCCAGGTGTGTTAGTAGATGGGTGGGAGAGAGATATGGGCCTGTGGCTTCACTCTGGCTCAGTCCAAGTCATGCATGTAGGCTAGCATTAAATATCTGAACAGTTGGTATCTCTTTGTTCTCTCTGGAGTCCACAGTGCATCAAATGAATAGTGAGAGATGCAAGAGCATGCCTGTAGTCCCAACTACACATAGAAGATACTTAGTCTGTCATGATGTGAACCTGTCCCAGCATGTCAAAGTATGTGTCCCTGTCTGATTTCTGTGTTTATTTCTATAAGTTTGCTACAGAAGAAGTACCAAATAGAATTCTTCGTGTTGAACTACTGAACCTAACAGTGAGAATTAGAAAGCTCACTGAATGCTGCCATTCACTACTTACCCAAAAGGGGGTGCTCATTACTAATGTCCAGGTTTCATGTGAGCTACTGTTGTCTCTATGAGTGGCCAGTGACTCAATTGCATCACTTCAGGCTTGTTCCTTTGTCCCTCTGAGGCTGATTTATCTATGACAAATTGGAAACATGCCCTATTAGGAACCACTTGGGAATTTCCTCTACATGGAGATTGCTCCCATGGCACTTTGCTGCACTGCAGAATGAGCAATTGTATGGGAAACACTGGGTAGCTTTTGCCACTCCCATAGAAAGTGGCATGGAGGAATTCCATTTTATCTAGGTGATTTATGCACCTGGCTGAGCTACGCCACCATGGTAGATGTGTGGGGTGGCTGCTCCTTAAGTGCTGTGGCCCGCCAGGTGGATGTACCTGGGAGATTTTGCTCTTGGCTGTAGTGCTAACTGAATCAGGAGTGAGGGAAATGGGGGCTTCCAGATGTGGTTGGACTGCAGTTCCCATGAGCCCTAGCCAAAAAAGCCATTAGTAAGGGATTATGGCAGTTGCCATCCAGCAACACTTGTAGGGCTACATGTTCCTCATTTTTACACTAAACAGAAACTAGAATTCAACCCAAAGTACCAGGATGGTTGGTGCCCCTTGCCTCTTTGAAAAAATGGGACTGGACAGTAACAAAACTGAACTGAAATACTTCAAAATTATTAACATATACACAAAGAGATGTCCATACTAATTTCCTTTTTATCTTAAATCTCATTCAGTTCACAGTGTGCTTGCTGCATTTTTACTTGAATGTTTCCACCCCAGATATGGAATTTAATATTGTTTACATGTCCTTCAAGGGCTCTTCATTAATGCTGCGCACTGTCTTCAGCCTCCAATTAAGCTTTTACTAGTCCAAGCCTGAAGTGAGTTTAAACTAATTTATGACCTCAAGGAAATGGCACTTTATGAACTTTTCATTTGGGCTGGGAATCAGAAAAACATACAAATGCACATTGTCTTTTCTGGATTTCTCTGATTTTAAAAAGTAGTCGTTGGATTGCATAAATACTTTGCTCTTAGAATAAAGTGGTTGATGCACTGAAGACTGAAATCCTGATGTTCCTCTTCCCCCTCTTCCTTAGAAAGATTGGTATACTATTCTTTTATACAATGCTTTTTAATGTCTTCATGAAAAAGGAAGTCAGTAGGTAATGTAGTTGTGCTGCTGTTGTCTAATACAGTCTCTGTGAGCTACAACTCTTTCAAGCTTTAAAATGTTACTTTAAAGTCCTGCTTGTGTTATTCCTTTCTAACAGTGTTTAATCTTTAGAATATAATTAAGGTTTATTCTGCCACTGACATAATTAATTTCCCCTGTTCATGCATAACCAGATTTAAACAACACGAGAAATGGCAAGAAGCAGGAATTCTTCTAATGCTAGGTGCATCAGGGGCCAATCTGCTGCACAGAACTTGGCAGCCCTCCCCCCCCAGAGTGAACGATAGGTGGGTTCTGGAGATGAGGCTCACAGCTTGCTCATTGTGCCCTTGGAAATTTCAGGCCCAAAGCATGGTAAGCTGACTTACAGTTCAACCCCAAAGGATGAGCTTGTAATTGCAATCCTCTGCTCCAGTCCAGAGACGAACCAGAGACAGTAGAGTCACTGTTTGCAGGGTAAGGCATTTTCTCTGAGCCTAGGTAGGCGTGTGCATATGAGCTCCCTCTATTCAAACAAATGGGGGGCGGGAGTTATTCCTTGGCATGCCCATCCCTGTATACATTTTCTGCTTTGAAGTAGTACTAGTCTTTCAGCATTAAAAAGCATATCTGTACTGATTCACTGCAATAGTTTTGAGGTTCCAGATGATGATTAAAAGTAGAGATTGCTTGGCTCTGTTGCCACCAACAATCCAGTCCCCTCTTCTTCTACTTCTGTAACATGTAGCACAGCATGCTTTGTGTCATTGCAAGGAGATTTCCTTATGGCATCTGCTTCTAGCAGTAAAACATTCTGCACAATAATGCAAAGATACAAGAGACATCTGAGTCAACATTCCAGAGTGAGAGTGGGCAAGGGAACTCAGCGGATCCCTGAGGCTACTTTCAAGATGAGTTTTTAAATAAGGATAATGAGTGTATCCTTATGTGTTCTGCAGAGCTGGGTTCAGCTTTAGCTGCTATAATAATCAGACTATTTTGAATGAAAACCTTTGCCATGAGTTTTCTATTGGATATGAGATACTCTGTTGTTCATTATAAGCACTGCATCTTTCTCAGGTATTTATGTCTATTTGTGTTGAAGTATTTTGATTACAGGTTGCAATGTTTTATGTTTTCTTAATGCACATGCTTTTATTCGGGGTCTTTGTATGGAAATCCCCTGCTGTGTGTTTTGTCGATAATTCGGTGGAACAGAATTACAGAGCGAGTGTCTATATATATATATGCTCAGTTCCCATTGACAAAAAGTTTATAATGCCCCTGCTTGCTTTTCTAGATGTGCTCTTATCAGATTAATAATATTAAACATAGAGGATGTGTAAAATTGTCAACAGCATACAAGTATTGACTGCTCTATGAGAAGCTGTACTGTCATAGCTGTGCTAATTATCTTGAACCTGGGCATAGTATATATGCTTCACATATTCCCCACTACCTACACCTGCTCATACGGCTAAGACAAGTAAAAACTACAAAATTGGGGCAAAGTACTATACATGCTTACCTAGAAGTAAGTCTTACTGAACTCAGATTGATAGGCATAGGATTGCAGACTATGCTATTGGACTCTGCCCTGTACATTTTTGTGTGTTTCAGAACTTTCTGTAGTTCCAGTCATTTCTAAACCCCTTGTAGCTGACAGGTGAAGAGTTCTAGATGGCTCCTACTCCATTCTTAATCAGGTAGTAGATTGAGTTTTTGCTCATTTGCACCCTATTCCTTTTATGGAGACTGACCAGGCTGTAGGTTAAAATGTAGGTTTTCCTGGAAACAGCGGTGAGTATTCCAGGTGAAGTGTTAACATTGAGCAATATCTTGTATAGAATCTGCTGTCACAACTAGAACCATCTATGGTTTTATTTTCAAACCACAGACTGTCCAGCTGGTCATTTTACTCCTATTTTAAAACTATTTTTTTAAATCGAATGTGAGTTGCCATTGTGGAATATACCTAATGTAAACAACTCTGATGTCTGTCATAAAGAGGAGCAACCAGGAACCCAGTTGTTTTAGGGGAGTGAGATGACATGTGTGAGGAGTCCTGAAGTTCAGGACAAATCTGAAACAAATGTGACCTGTTACATTGTATTGATGTAATGCCTAATTCTGAAAAGTAACCCTCTGGGTTGGTCAGAATTTACCACTTCCATATTGCATACTTTCACTTCAATCAAAGACTCATTAGGAAGCTGCCCAGAGTGGTAGAATATACCAGATGGGCGGGATATAAATCAAATAAATAAATAAAATAAAATAAAGCCACTACCTTCTCAACACTTGCCTACCTGTTACTGTATGGAGATGGCTAAACCCAGTTGAGTCAAAGTAAGGCCAAACATTTAACCTGCCCCCCCCCCCAAAGTTTCTTTCTGAGGCTGGAGAAGATGTGCTGGAAGGAAAGCTTTGTAGACAATATTGGCTTTTTCTTTTTCAAACACTTTTTAATAACCTGTATTTTCATACCATTCAGATACATGAATTTCCTCATGCTCCTGCAATCAGAATGTTCTTTTTTAAAATGTGTAAATGTAATGTGAAGGAAGTCTGTATGGATTTGAATCCATGTTGTCTGCTCTCCGATGAGACACTGATTTGAATGTGGGTCTGTTTCCATAGCTTGTAGCAATCCTTGTAATTAAATACAATGAATTACTGAAATTAAACAAAATAAGATTAGCACCTAATTCTTGCAGCCCTTTTTTTGGAGAGACCCTTGTGGGGGGGTCACTAGGGAATGGGTGCCACTATTGAGCCAGGTGGCAGGGAGAAAGGCCAAGAGGCATCTGTGCTCACATGGAGTCAGGCAGTGCTTCACACAGACAGAAACAAGCAGGCAAGCAAGCTGGAAGGTTATTACACACAGACACAAGGCTGGAGGTGGGGTGGATGAAGGTATTGCATCCTGGTTGGATTTTAGCCTGGAAGATTGGTAGAAATGATCAGATTGATATTAGCTGATGGAGATGCTACAATTATGAGAGCATGGCTGGTCATTTGAATGTAGTAGAGTTTGGGATTGATGTTTGATATGTGAGTTATGTATCATCAAGTATCTTTTAACATATGTTTATCCTAATAGGGCTTCCAAGGTGAATTAAATATTTAAGAAGTGGTTTTACCAGTGCCAGCACACACACACCGTGACTTTCCATGACCAAGTGGGGATTTTAATCTGTTACACTACACTGGCTATCAAGGATTGGCATGACATTTTGGGTGTGAGATACATGAAGATGAACTGATTATTTTTGGTTCATCATACTAGCATTGTGTAGCATAGGTTTGAGTGTGTATAGTATTGGGATGTGTTTCAGTGACAGGATCATGAGGAAAATTAGGGGAAGGTGCCTCTATTTGAATAATTATGGGAAGAGCAATATACAGCATAGAGGGCTCCCCCTCCATAGCCCACATTGCTAAAATAATTGTTATTGTTTTGCTGTGGCATGTTTCTAAGATGCTTTATTTGCAGATTTTAGGGAAAACCTTTGAAGAGTGGACAGCTTAATTGGCCTTCCAATGAGCCTTCCCCCCCCCCCCAAAGCAGCTTCTTCTTGAAAGGGAAATATACTCTACTCAAGCTCCAAACACTTCTCACAGAACTTTTAAAGAGAATTTCAGAGAATGCTCAGAGAAAAACACCAGTGGAGGGAGGAGAGATAGTGATGAGTAATTCCAAATAAAATCACATCAAAGATTTTTCAAGGAATGAAAAGTGTTCTACAACTTTTTCTGGTTTTTTTTTTAAATAACATTTTTTTCTTTTCATGTTTGTTTGAATTTAGTCATGTTGCTTTATGAAACTCTGTAGATATTTTGTAATATTAGTTTTAGTTTCCATGCATCAACTCCATCCGTTCTTACCTTCTGAATAGAGCTGCCCATGTGCTATGTTAAAAATGGCTTTGATTTGTGCTCTCTGTTTTGCACTGTGTTAGTGTTTTTAATTTTTAAAAGCCTTTTTCTGTGGCAAAATGTTATTGTGTTGTTGACTGTCGATACTGCTGAGCCAGGAGCTGAAGTCCAATGTATCTCTCTCTTTTCTCTGAACTGCCACTCCCACCTCTCCTTGCAGCTGTGGACAATGTGAGAACATTCTGTTGGCAATGAGGTAACAGATGGCCTTCAAATCTCGCTGCCCCATGAGCCTTGTCTTACTGTGAGGAGGCCAACAATAGCCGACAGAGCAGAGCATGTGCCACCCAACAGTGCACAGAGCCATTGTGCAAGCCCAGAGTGCAAAATCTCAATTCCACACTTAAGGGCAGCCAGCATGGAGCTTCGCTCTTTCGAACCTGCAAAAGAGCAGCTCCCCTGTGTCGCACATTGAGAGGAAGGAAGGGCAATGCATATAGAAATCTAATTATAAGCAGGCACTGAGCAAGCTTTTAGCATGATAATCACTGAGCCCCCCCCCACACTTTCTTGTGCAGGGACCCCTGAAAGGTGATTCTGAAAGCAAAAGTTAAAGCCATTGAATTTCCATCAATCATTCAATGTTTGCTTTGATTGCACTGACAATATTCGGTTTTGTTGGCTCTTAAAGTGCAGTGAGAAACTCTTATTAATCACTTTAAGATTTTTTTTTATTTTAAGACAAAAGGAGGTTGCCTGCTCATTAGCTATCAAACAGAGCCAGAAGGCCTAAGAACAAGTTTTTGTGGAACAGATGGGGGTTCCCTATAAATGATGCCCTGGGCAATGGCTTCTCCACTCACCAGCATGGTGATGCAGATTTTAAAACAGAACAGTAGCTTCAAAGCCTGGAGGTAACTTGGTGGACTTCACTGAGTTCACTTGCTGGATGTTAAAAGCCAAGAGAAAGGCACACAGTCCAGCAGTATTTATTTGTGTTATGTGCCATCAAGTTACATCCTACTGCCACAGTCTTAAAAGGATTTTTCAAGTATATGAGATATTTAAGGAGTGGTTTTACAATAAACATATTTACCCCTCTCATTAGTTTCCATGGCAAAGTGGGGGTTTGAGCCCATTTCTCATGACTCCTAGGCCATCACTGACTAGGCTAGTGGTGGCAAACCTTTTTTTGGGCTCGCGTGCCCAAACTGGAAAAACAAAAAACAAAACGAGGGGGGGCGGCATCAGAAGTGGCGGCGGTGGAACCAGAAGTGGCGATGGAAGGGGGAATCCCAGGTACGGAGGTGCCTCGAGACCCCACTCCAGATCCGCTGCCAGCACCAGCTGCTCCAGATACTGATCTGCCGCTCTCACTGTAGTTGCAGCCGCCTGCTCAGGTTTGGGGGAGGAGGGAGTAGCGATCCAGCGACTTATGGCTTGTGTGCTGGCAGAAAGGGCTATGCGGACTAGACTAAACTGGCTCTCATACAACCAGCATTTATTAGACTCAGCTAATGTGGTCAGTCAACCATCTTTATTTACTGTCAAATGACCACTGTATTGTACAGTATACACATACTAAAGCTCAAGACACTTTTTAATAAAAGTACTAAACACTGAATATGTACAAAATATCAAAAAAATTATAGGTGATCTAATACGAATGGCCACATTCTAAAATTGGGCTGCTTATTCAGTGACTGATTTACCTAACTTTGCTTCAGAGCTGTAGTAAGGGACTTAGGACCTGTGAAATTTGGTGCAGTCCCGCAGATGCTTAAAGGGTCCTCATCAGTGCAATCTATTTTAACTTAAAGAGCTATTTTGCAAATCAATAAATCATCCCAAAAATATTGCATGGCCTAGCTCTGTGCCAGAAAGATACTCTTAAAGGGAAAGATGGATCATTTTACGTAGAAACAAGCGAGCAGGTCTTTTTTTCTATACCCAACAGTGCTATCTTAGAAAAGCAGCCAGGTATGTAGACTGGGTCATAGAATGTATTAGATCTCTTATAGCTGCTTGATAAAAATGGCAACGAGGAAGAATGTGAAAAATTGGCTCTACCTCAACAACTAATTCCCACCACGGGACTTGACGGCATTGGAATCCTATTGCATTATTTATAAAATACAACTCTATGGATGAAACCCTGTTCTGTAAGTTATGCCACTTAAGGCTGAAGTGATCAACAATTATTTAAAAAAAAAAAAAAAGCTCCCCCAAAATGCCCTGAGAGATTGATTTCCTCATAGGAAAAGCCATTGGGGACTGCTGGATCGGTGGTAGGAGTCTTTAATTTCTGAAAAGCACCACCACTGGGATTATTTTACCAGCAGCTGTGATCTTAGAGTAAAGACTCCCGTACACCCAGACATCCCATAACCTAACAGGCTCCCCCATGACAAAAGGTATCCTGTGGGAATCTTGGGACCTTCCATGGGGCAGGATAATAATTTTGTTATTTCTGAAAAAATCACTGTGGTGATGATATTGCATAGCTATTTTGTTGTTTAGTCATTAAGTCATGTCCAACTCTTTGTGACCCCACGGACCAGAGCAAGCCAGGCCCTCCTGTCTTCCACTGCCTCCCAGAGTTGGATTGAATTCATTTTGGTCGCTTTGATGACACTGTCCAACCATCTCGTCCTCTATCGTCCCCTTCTCCTCTTGCCCTCACACTTTCCCAACATCAGGGTCTTTTCCAGGGAGTCTTCTCATGAGATGGCCAAAGTATTGGAACCTCAACTTCAGGATCTGTCCTTCCAGTGAGCACTCAGGGTTGATTTCCTTCAGAATGGATAGATTTGTTCTCCTTGCAGTCCAGGGCCTCTCAAGAGTCTCCTCCAGCACCACAATTCAAAAGCATCATTTCTTCAGTGGTCAGCCTTTTTTATGGTCCAGCTCTCACTTCCATATACTGTACATTGCTACTGGAAAAACCATAGCTTTGACTATGCGGACCTTTGTCAGCAAGGTGATGTCTGCTTCTTAAGATGCTGTCTAGGTTTGTCATCGCTTTCTTCCCAAGAAGCAGGTGTCTTTTAATTTTATGGCTGCTGTCACCATCTGCAGTGATCATGGAGATCACGCATAGCTATACAAACAGGATATAAGTCAATGTGTGTATATCCTGAGAAGCAAAGACCCACTGTATTCAGCAGAGCATGGCCCCTTTTAAGTGTGATTTAGCTATGACATTTTCTAACGTGATTATTAAATGAATGGTTGCTGCAAAGATTAAACACCAAAGAAAATGGTCCATTCAAAACAATTCAGCCATGGGATAAGCTAGATCGGGGTGGGTGAAGTGGCAGGAGTACAGAAAAGTGAATCTGGTCAATCTGCTCTCTTGCCTCTACATGTGTATCAGACGTTCAGAGTTACATCCAGCCAGAAAAGGCTTTGTAATATTAAAACCAGTCTTCTCCAACCTGCTCCTCCAACTGTCTACAAGAGGCTGTGGAAGCTTTGTCTTAAAAAATATAGCTCTTTGGAAAGAGAGAAATTGACAGGACGTAGAGCTTCATCTTCCCACCATTGCTTCAATTTAATTTGCACCCATCCCCCTATCCTCAGCAGCTGCATTTATTTATTTATTTATTTATTTTATTTCTATCCCGCCTATCTGGTCATACTAGACCAGTCTTTTGAAAGCGAAGTGGTTTGTTTGCAAGTATTGTGTCTCATGTCTGCTTCTGTTTTGTTTCTAATTTATTGCTGACAAACTTTCCAGATGACCACAAAAGCTTAGTCCAGTAGTTTCCCAACTTAGGGTCCCCAGATGTTCTTAAGCTACAACTCCCAGAAATCCTGGCCAGTTTAGTCCAATAACATCTGGGGGTCCAAGGTTGGAAAACCACTGGATTCAGGCCATTGCATTGGCCTTGCAGTCCCCAATGGCAGCCATCCCATACACACTCAGCTCAACTTAGGCAAAATGAGGATCCCTCCCCCATTTGACATAGGTGCTATGAAAAGCTGACAAGTTGTTGCTTGATTGATTAGTATTGTATTTTATTGCCTAGGAGAGGAATGGGCACTTGTGGGACCTTCTATAAAAGAATACAGTGGGGTCTCTACTTAAGAACGTCCCTACTTAAGAACAATCCAACTTAAGAACAGCTCCATTTGCTAAATTTTGCTTCTACTTGAGAACAGAAATCCAAGATAAGAACAGGAAAAAAAAACCTTTCCTGCTCTTTTTTTAACCTTAGGTCATCTTAGGTTAAAAAAAATTCTCCCCCTAGTGGTAGAGGACGTATTAACCAGCTTTGCATTAGTTCCTATGGGAACTAATGCTTCAATGTACGAACGCACCTCTACATAACAAAAAAACAGCCAGAACGGATTAATTGGTTTTCAGTCCATTCCTATGGGAAATTTTGCTTCAGCTTAAGAACGTTTCAACTTAAGAACACCATTCCAAAACGGATTAAGTTCTTAAGTAGAGGTTCCACTGTAGTTTCTGTGGACGGAAAAGAGCAGATACGGATTAAATGGTTTTCAATGCATTCCTATGGGAAACGCAGATTCAACGTAAGAACTTTTCAACTTGAGAACCACCTTCCAATACGGATTAAGTACTTAAGTAGAGACCCCACTGTATGGCTAGCCTTTGGTACTGTGCACTTTGATAGGGCTATTTATCACTCTCCTTCATGTGGTAAAATATCTTGGGTCATCCCTCTTCTTTTGGCCAACCTTTTATCTTCTAATCAGGTAACTAAAACAATTTCATCACCTCCAGTATTTGACAGAAAAACAGACACGTTTGACAGAAGGCAAACTGACAGAATGGGGGCCGTTTTACTGTGGCAACAAGGAAGCCACTGCTGGCTTTCTTCATGAAAATATTTTCAGACAATAAATTTCCGTGCAGCATTTGTTCACATTTAATCATTGCATTTTTTGTCCTCTGAATGGGAAAAGCAGCTAAGTTGACATTATAAAAACTGGAGATGCTCCCAATGGTAGAACTGGCCCTACCGTTAGGCAGAGTAAGGAAACTGTCTCAGGCAGCAGATGCTGGTGGAGGAGCAGCAGGGCAATCCTTAAGTCTTTCTCCCAAGGCCAACGGCCATCCTCCTTTCCTGCAGAACAGAGCTATGGAGCCAGGCAGCTTCTCCTGCTATACCCCCTAAATTGACCTGCTGTCATTGGTGTAACGGAGGAGAGAAATGATGCCAGTCCACTCAGCTTCATTACCTAGAATGGAGAAAGAGCTGGCATTATGTGACAACATGTCTTGGACTGGCCCTGGCCCTTCGCTTTTAACCAGGGATTGGGGGCTCAAGCCACAGGACTCGCTGTCAAGTCAGACTGAAGCCGCATTGATGACTTGACTTGGACTCGATTCAGGTTTTTTTCCCCAATGACTCGGACTCCACTTGTGATTCAGAATCCACCCACCCCTCCCTTGTCTTCAATAGGGGCTCAGTACCAAAGACTTGGACTCAGAACCAAAGACTTGCCAGCATCCCTGCTTTTAACTCTGAAGGAAGTGAAATGCCCATGGCTTCTCCTGCTTGTCACTTGTTCCCTGCCTTCTGTCAGGACGTCTGTAAGGTCCTACTCACTACAAGAGGCAGAAGAATCAGGGGGAAAACAACACACCAGCAGCTTTTAAGATTACATATATATAAAAAAGGATACCCAACTGACTGTGGAGCCCATTCCCTAAAGATGGTCGACCTTGACAAAATTAGGTGCTCAACAGTGAAGTGTTGAAAACTATGGAAATTTGACAAGTGCAATGGCGACTGGTTTGTGTAGTTAAGGTGGAAAGGCAAGCAGATGCGACACCTCGTAACAATGAAGGTTAATTTTACTAATGTAGGATTCATGTTCACACTGCAAACACGGGACTGGCTAAAGATGCCAGAAGACCTCAGCTAGTACAGTCTAGCTGGAAAAAGGAGGGAAAAGCAGACGGGACCTCCGGGATTAGGTGCTCTTAGGACGGGCTTGCAGCTTGTACCCACGGCCAGGACCCTCGCATCCCGATGTAAAAACACCACAGCACACAAATCTTGAGGAAAGCGGGCACGTTAAGAGGGGCAGCGGGTGTTCAGAATCCCTTAATAGCAAGGCGTCACGTGCAAAGGAATTCTTCCAAGCCATTCAGACGTGATTAGGTGTCCCGTATTTATTTACTCTGTACGCCTGGGATTAGGGTTCTGTCTGAGGCTGCCTTTTGCTAATTGTATTGAGCGCTTGTCCTGGTACTTTTTTCTCGTCAGCCGCCCGCCTTCAGACTAGCACTGTGAAGGTTGCGGGAGAGAGACACGGCATAATAAATACAGGACGGACGGAAACCAGGGGAGCCGTAATAACAGCGAGCCCCCCTGCCCGAGGCAAAGCTTCGCGTTCCCCTGGGGGTGTGTGTGTGTGTGTGTGTGTGTGTGTGTGTG